TGTTGGCCAGACGTTATTACCAGTAGGCATATTTTCATGTGGCAAGTCAAGTTGCCAATCTGGACATTGGGTCCTTTCGCAGCCTCTGGAACACCGCGATGCTCGTCGACGCGTTTCGGCTGGAAGGGCGCCCAACGAAACTCGCAAAGACTACAGGGGAAAACTTCTTGCTAGCCTGAAAACAGCGCGAAAACTGGTGGTTTCATTGTGTATCGGAGATGGGGAGGGCTGTTGCCCCTTGTAGCTATCGACGGTTATTGCGTTTGATACGGGAAACGGGCAGTAGGAGACCTGGTGTTGGCGAGGTCAAATTCGAGGAGTTGGAAGTCAATACACAACCTGTCAAAACGCTGGAACGAACATTTTGGAAAGCAGTAAGTCAAATGAAATTGGCATCTCCATTTACGCCCACTGAACACCTTTCTCCATAGACCGTCCCATCGGATCCACTCTCACGTGCAAAAATTGGAAGTGAAATCAGCCTGTTGAAAATGAACAAGGCCACAACCGCAGATAGACGTCCTCCAGCCCTCTTCAGATTGGGGAGGACAGGAGACCGTACCAACAGAATGAAACCGCACAAGTATAGTCCCAATTTACAAGCAGGGTTAAGGTTCAGAATGCGTCAATCAAAGAGGCACTGGTTTGATTACCAATGTCTCTTTGTTACCTGTCAGTGGAGTTCTGCACAGAATGACCGGCACTTGCGGTCAGGTTTTGAACCAAAGACTTTGGTTGAGAACCATAATCGTTATCCTGTCTAGGCCTACGCAAGCTGACAATATCCTGCCCACACAATACAATAAATTTCTCTTCAAACAGTTTCTTGATACTCTGGCTACCGCAGAAGATAATCAACGGTGCCCTATCTGCTGCATCGAGCAGCGTGGATAGGGGTTTGGATGCTACCGCTTACTTTTATCCCCCCTGTTTTCAACCCCCAATTCTTAGCCCTCCCCCACCTTGCTTTGCTAAGCTTTTACCTGGTAGTTTTAACTCACATGTGAACGCGGAGCGTCATTCCTGCCCTGTCGACAAGCCTAGGTCCAACCAAGCAACCGATCAAGCCCAGTTCACCGGCACCCAATTGGAGCCCTCGATCATCCTTTAGATTGGCATGCCTCAATGTACGCACATTTCTACAAATCGGTCAACAGTCAGCACTTGTCCGAACATTAGAGACTCTCTCCATCGATATGCGCTGGTGTTGGTATTGTCCTGGGTCCCCGGGCTGAAGCTGCTCTGGTTGACTGGATTCCAATCGGTAACCGGTGGTGTGCGGTCCGATTGGCTAGCTTGTTCAAAGCTTCGAAGTCGCGCGGGACTAACAGGTGTCTATTCGTCATCGCTGCCTATGCACCCACAAACTCTAGCGTTGCTTCGGTGAAAGACTACTTCTATCGCCAATTGAACGAGCTCCTTCGCCACAGAAGAAGCTCGGATACTGTTGTGCTGGCTGGGGATCTGAACGTTCAAGTTGGAAAATTATCCACTGATGAACTGCATCTGAGCGGCCAACATGGTGTAGGCTCCAGTAATGATAACGATGAGCGGTTACTTCATTTGTGTGAAGATACTCGCTTATTTCTTGCGAGCACTAGTTTTCGACACAGCACCCGCCGGAGGTTGACATGGCGCCCACCAGCCTCGAATCAGCTATGGGCGCAAATCGATCACACAGCGATGAGTTACCGATGGAGAGGCTGCGTCCAGAACTGTCGCTCGATTTGGAGCACAGGTGTGGACACCGACCATGCACTTGTATGTGCCGACTTGCGGATGCGCTTTGGCGAACACCCAAGACGACATTGTGAGCGTATTGACAGCAGCCAACTGACGAAACCAGCTGTTCTGAATGCCTATCAAAGTACGCTGTCATCTGAGTTGAGCAAGCGCTCACTGGATGCAACTGAAGCTCACTGGTCTCATTTCATCAGACCACTCTAGCAGCAGGATAATCCTCATGTGGTAAGTTTAATCGTCAACTTGGACATTGGGTCTCTTCGCAGTCTCTGAAACTTATCAATGCTCGCCGGTATATTTCGGCTAGAAGCGAACACAATGAAACTCGCAAAGAGCTCTGGGCAAAACTCCGTGTTAGCCTGAAAAGAGGCCGCGAATCCTGGTGGTCTCATCGTGCATCAGAGATGGGAATGTCCGCTGCCCTTGGTAACCACCGTAATTTTTTCCGGCTTATACGGGAAACGGGCAGCAGAAGACCTGGTGTTAGTGAAACTATACGTGACGAGAGTGGACAGCCTATCCACAACTTGTCAAAACGATTGAAGAGCTGGACTGAGCACTTTGAAAGGCAATTTAATTGGTCGGAATTGTTAGTTTCCTCTCCGATCACCGATGGCCCCGCTCCCTGTGCTGTCCCTTTGGATCCGCCCTCTCGCTCAGAAATCGAACGTGAGATCGCACTGCTGAAGTTAAATAAAGCCGCGGGATCAGATGATCTGCCTCCAGCCCTCTTTGAATTCGAGGGACCTGCTCTTGTGGATGAATATATGAATTACTAGTGAAACTGTGGGAGTAGAAAACTGTCATAATCGACTGGAGCCGCTCGGACATAGTCCCAAATTTTAAGGGAGACTCACGATCGGAATGCGGCAACCATAGAGGAATCAGTCGGATCTCCATCGCCTCCAGATTGCTTGCCTCTGTCATCCTTTGCAGACCGAATGGCACTTTTGAAAGCTATATTCGTGAAGCGCAAGCCGGGTTTCGTCGAGGTCGTGGCTGAATTGACCACATCTTCACTTTGCGTCAGTTGTTGGAGCACCGTCACATATATTGGCGGCCCACCGTTGTCGTGTCCCTCGACATCATAGGTGCATTCGATTCTGTGGATAGACGTGCACTTTGGGACTGTCTACTCAGGAAAGGTGTGCCTCAGACATATGTAAATATTATCCGATGATTATACGCGCGTACCTCAGGCAGAGTGAGGGCTTACGGTAAGCCGTCACCACTCTTCAAAATCGCCAACTGTGAGAGATTAGTATGTCCGCTGTCACTTTTCCTATTCAACTTCGTTATTGGCGAAGTAATGGAAATCACGATCACACGACACGAATTAGAAGATGTGGATTTACTCCCAGTAGAACGACTTCTTGACTTGGAGTATGCTGACGATATTGCCCTAATCTGTGACAGCTCACAAATGTGCCAAACGGCTCCGGACAGATTAGCACTGGCTGTCAGTCACTTCGGGCCTTGCTTTGCACCATCAAAGTGTAAAACTTTCCTTCAAGATTGGTCTGGACCGCTTCCTGCGCTGACGCTTAGTGGGGATCAGCTAGAAGTCGTTCGAAACTTCAACTACCTGGGAAGTTGTATCAGCGCCCGTGGGATCAAAGATGAGATCACGAACCGTATAGCAAAAGCTCGAGGCAATTTTGCTAACCTTCGCTAACTACGGCGCCGGCGCCGCATCACTCTTGCCCTGAAGGGTAGAGTGTACAATGCAGCGGTACGTTCGACCCTACTGTACGGTTGGGAAACCTGGCCCCTTAGATCAGCCGACAAAAAGAGGCTAGTTACGTTCGACCACCGATGCTTTCGCAGTTTGGCCCACATATGGTGGAAACACTGCGTGAGCAACTAACGTGTTCGACGCCTTGTTTACGGCCGAGGAAAAGGAAATGAACCGCTCAGCACCGTTAGTTCACGCACCAGGCTCCGATGGCTCGGCCACGTGTTACGCATGTCAGCCTACCGACTGCTGCGACGTGCGTTGTTTGCTCACCGGGGGTGTGGATGGAAGAAGAGGAGAGGTGGCCAAGCGATGACTTGGTCGAGAGAAATGAACGCCCTCACTTCGAAGCTGGCCTCAGTTGGAGCGTCTCGGCTCCCTGGTTGGGTTCCGAAAGACGAGGAACACGTTTGGCTGGATACACTTGGTGATATGGCTAGGAGCCGACCTCAGTGGTTTTCGTGCTGTGAGTTTCTTTGTCCCACCCCATCACTCTTAGTCTTTCCCTCCAACCACGATCTCAATATTTAGCCTTATGTAATTTTGCAAAGTAAATTCTTGTTTCTTGCTACATCTTAGCCAACAGGTAGCTTACCGGAACGATGCCCATCCGTTACCGGTAGCTCAGTTAGCTTGCACCTGTTGCATTTTATTCCTCTTTTTCTTTTATGTGTTGCGGCGTAGTAGCTGAGGTGTTTCCCACCTCTAGCTAACGTGTATTGTGTGTGTGTGTATGTATGTGTGTGCGTGTGTAGTGTATCTCTTCTTCCTGAATTTTCGTTAACATATTTTTGTTTCACACGTATTCCGTTTATGGACACTGACTTAACTTTTCAAAAACTCTCCGTTCCTTTTTTAGTTCCTTGCCATCTGTTTTCATCTGACCGCATATCCTAACAATGCCCTATAGAACTACATTTCTTAAAAGTCGTGAAAGCCTATGTCAACTGTCTAGGGAGCAAAAGATCAAACGTTGCTTATCGTACTTGAGGTGCCAGGTATACTGGTTTCCTAACTTGTCCCTCATCTATAGGATGAAAGCTGTAGTTGTTCAAACTGGATGCTTTGTGTCGACAGCGGGGTTTCAGCTTCTCCATTGTGCTGCAAACACTGCCGTCATCTGCACCACTGTTTCATCGCACCGGATTGTGATTCATGGTTGAACACAGCCGTACAAATGGTTGAGGATATTGAACATCTGTACGTACTATGTGCCAATGAGCAAGACTCTGAAACGAAGCATGTCTATTTCTGTATTATGAAAGTAGGTCACTACGTTCGTACCACATTTCCTGCTTAAAGCGGTTACGGAAAGCTTTGACAAACCAAACAAAGGTTATTTTTGAGGACACCCCCCCTTTCGAGCGACCATCTATTGAAACGGTATGTTCCATGGATACTTTATCAATTCCTCAAGGCCGTGCGTAATGTCTTACTTCGGAACTACGAGCAAGACAGCAAGGAACTGGAACGTATGTTGGAACTAGCCAGACTATTCTTATTATTTGTCAATGCCTGGAAGATGGGGTATCCAAGCCTCCGAACTAACAAACATGAAAATAAAACTGGGTACAGACTAATTTATCTGAGGTGCCCTATTCTGTGCCAGTTAATTTACTTTATTCCTCGTTAAGATGGCTGTGCCACTGTTTCGTCCCGCAGTTTTGCTTCACTTTGACCTACAGCAAGCCATCAACGGTTTTCGGTAAAAATTTCCTATTGGCTGTGCTCCCGGAACTGAAAAAAGGTTTGATTGATAGGATAAATCAACAGAACACCAGCATTCTTGGACTAGACAAGAAACAGCACATTATCCAACCACTTTTAAAGTATCCTGTTCACTTTCTTCATATTACATTCAGGTTGTTCTCCAATCTTGAGGATGAAATGCAAAATCCAACCAGCCAGATTTGGGATTCACATTTCCCTTCACTGACATCATTTACAAGCGGCTGGGTTGGGCCACCTAGTACTCTGTCCCCCGCGTTTGCATGTCTCCATCATCACACAGCGTCATCTAATGGTCCACCAGAAACGCTGACAACAGTACTTCATGAAACTCCCAGTGTTTCACCTTATCCAACCTCTGCTATGAAATCCTGCACTTTGTATGGACCACGTAGATCCAGTAAGTCATGCACTCCGTTGGATTCTCACGCTCACGGTTAAAAGATCTGTGGCACTATCGTTTTTATCTGTTATTTTTTGAAGTTGTCTTCCAATACCTCCTGCATTAACTCACCCTTTTTTATGAACTCATTTGTGTATGTTTCCCCGTTAGCATTTTTGCCACTAAAAGTTCAATTCATAGTGATAGGCTGAACCGGATTCGATTCCATTCATAATAGTAATTTAATCCTTTTATACCTGTGTTCCCCCATAATCTGTTCCATTTTGATCTTTTCCTTTAAGATATAACATTCCGAGCCGGAGACAAATGCCTTAGGCCCGAACGCTGCCTCGACGATGCATCACTGTGACTTTCTTGGTGATGCTTGGGCGACCATCCTAGTGCGCAAAACATGCGAATTCGGTGTTTACACGGTTCCATTTTGTTGCATAAGATTTCACAACACGTACAGTTTTTTCGGGCGGGAATACTCAATTTCCGTTCCGCAACGTTATGTCGATCCAACGCCGTCACTCTTTCTGCATCGCGTTAGACGACGCAGGAGCTACCATCACCTGAATTTTAGGGTTTCACCAGAGTATCTGCGATATTCTCCAGATCATTCTGCTAGTCGTCGTCACCCCGTGACTGTATCCTTGTGCTCCTCTCTTGGCAAGCTTATATGGAACTACAAGCTCTGCATAGCTTGCTTATGTCGTTTAACGGCTGTCTGGCGACAGCACAGCTACTTTCCTTCGCATTTGTTGGATCTTAATAAGCTGATATGACCGACATTACTAACACGGTTATTTGACTCCATCCATTTATTTATTATTCTAAGGTGTATGTGTCTTGAACATAAGTAGTGAGTAACAATACTACCAGGTTTTAGTAATACCGATTTTGAATGTCATGTCCGTGGATATGGATACTCATAGCACGAAAAACACGCTTTGATCGTTCAGGTATCCATCAAGGCTATACCTAAACTTTTTCATTGGATGGTAGATTCTGGCGGTGTTCGTAAGGTTCTTCTCGAAAGCGTTCCCTGGTTTAATAATTAACCTCGGAACCGTGATTTTATGATCCTATTGTGTTTCGTATCCCGTGTTTAACAACGTTATAAGATCGCCATCATTACGCACAAGACGGTGTGTGATTCTGAATGAAAAGCAAAGGTTAAGCTTCATTCGTCGAAATCAGATATAATCAATTTTAAGGATGCAGCAATGCCATCTTTATGTCATTTTCATGGAATCAGTTCTGCACAGTTCAGTTGGTCAACTTTGATCCTAGCATCGAAGTGCGGTGGATCCAGTTTCCACAATTCACACCGTACGAATAACAATAACACCTGTAGGATTTGGGTGCAGATACAATGTAGAGAAAATGAAAACAAGAAGGAAATGCGTTAGACTAATCCGAATGGAAAGAAGATTAACAACCAGATGAAAGAAGCCGAATGCAGGAACGCCACTGACTGACTGCGCCGTGTCTGACAGGGTCTCAAACCGTTGGTGTGGACCATCACGAGGTTCCCATCCAAGATGATGGCACACGCCAGCCTGACCAAGTCTTTCAGTCAATTTCTTCAAGCTTCTATGCCATGCCATGAACTGGTCACCTCGCAGTTTTGCCCAAATTGATGCAGCCATGACGTATAATGCACGCCGAAGAACCCGATCATGGAATATACAACTAATTTTTGTGTAGCGTACTGAACAATTTCCATTGTAAGCTAATCTGATCTCCTTAGATTTGTGTGGACTATTGAGTTGTACTTCATGGTTGGTAGCATATGCTTTATAGTACTGAACTCGTGACTCCTCTTGTCTCCGGGAGCTTGGTACAAGCAAAAAGTAGCTACGCACTTCCAGGCAAGAAGTCTTTGGCAGTTATCTTTTGTGTCGAGGAATTCCACAAGTGTCTGTGTGGATGAAGCATTGTAATCTTTACTGACCATAAACCTATAGTGTCCTTGATTAGGGAGAAGTCATCAACCAGATAGCGTGTCCTCGTATACACTTTTGGGCTTTATTACTCTCTGGAAAAGCAAATTGACTCTCGGACGCTTTGAGTCGCTTGCATTTGATACTAAACCACTTAGTGATACTTCTATTTGCTGCAATCGTTGGGCGAAAATTCGGTGTTAATTGCAGATGTTCGTTAGGAAAGCGAACGAAACATCTTACTGTTCCAAGCCAAGCGCATAGTCTCCTAAAGATGGCCTGACTAATGTGAACCACAAGTGCTACCGTCCTTTACCTGACGCACAGACCTTAATCTCGTAGATGCCTATCTTCTCTGGGACTCCAAAGCGATCATATCACCCAGGTAACGACAGCATATCTTGCAAAAGCTACACGAAACATACCCAGGGATCACGAGGATGAAGAAACTCGATTGATCTTAAGTATGGTGACCTAATATTGAGGGAAAGATCGAAGAGTAAATTTAACATTTGACGCACCGCGAAGCACACAGAGGAACATTTGTGCAGTTAAATCTAGTCCATGGAATTAGTCCAGCAAACCATGGAAGCACATAGATGTTGAATCCTCTGATCAGATCGATGGAAAGATGTTTCTCTCCTAGATTGATGCTCACGTGAAATGGTTGAGGTGCTGCCACTGAGGCAACTGTTTCCTGCATGCGGACGTGTAACAGGTAACTGTTGAATATTTAGGTGACTGATGAGTAGGAGGATTCTTGAAGATATTTTACTGGTTTATCCCAGCTGCTCACAAGCTGGATTAGTCAGACCCCATTCCGAGGAAGTACCGGACAATCGTTTCGCCCTATTCGGGCTTGTCAGGTGTGCGCATTCCTTCGGCACCCTACTGGGGATCGAACCCATGCACGATAGCAACTTACGCCAACTAGCCAGCAACTTATGCCACCTAGCCGTGGGGGATGGAGGCAGACCGTTGGGACTTGCAAGCTAACTAGTATATAGCGCAACCTATCTTCCATTGCCACACAGGTTCCTACCACTACAGAGTATTTCGAGAGTTCCTCAAGCACATCTGCACACATATCATGTGAACTCAACCGCTTACCACACAGCTTCAAACGGCTTGGTCGAAATCGCAGTCCAAGTCTTCAAGAACGGGTAATGGAAACAAGCGCCGGCTCCGTTACGAACAAAGGAAGCTTCCCATTTGGCTGCCGTACCATACGATACGAAACTCCTGAGAAGAAGAGCCCCCGGTGAGTTGAAGTTGGAACAAATGTTTGGAATGCGACTGACCTTTCTGTTTCCTGACCAAATACTATGTGGCCACACTAAGCAAGATAACTTACGAGCAATTGGGATTTTCTATGCTTTTTCATTTCGTCGCAGTCAGATTACCAGACAAACAGGTCAACTACCTTTCCGGAAAAATAGCCAGACGATTGTTTCGCTCTCTTGGGGCTCGTTAGTAGTGCTCATTCCCTTGGTCCGCTTTGGAGAACCGAGCCCGTAACCGTTAGTAGTTTGCACCGCTAGCCAACGGCTTATGCGACTGAGCCATGGGGGACTATAAATAACCATCATGGATTTGAATCTAACTGTGTTATGGCCAGACACATAATTCTTTGACAAGGTACAACCAGAGGGCGACGGACCAACAATTCTGCGAGAACGAGCCGGTTTGTGTCTGCTTGTGTATTGAAACGACCCGGTAGTTTGGAGACCCGCATGAAGTTGCGGGACAACAGACGGACGTGTATCTACCGGATGTCATAGTATTTCCTCGACAGTAGGATCATATCCATCATCGCTATGCTTCAATTCCGCCAGACAACGTGTCCTCAAAACTGCATATTGTGTTGGCAGTCGCGCAGAACACATAAAAATTCCGGACAACCGTAGACTTAGCGATGTCGGTGCTCAGGTAGGCTGTGCTGACACAACGATCGATGCTACGCTTGCTACAGTCCCAACTAACAGAGGAGGGATTGTGGCATCTACATGGTCACTGCTGCTGCGCACCTCTTCTTGGGAAGGACAAGTAATAAAATCCTCAGGATCATGCTATGCTTGGATATGACATCGTGGTTAACGAGGGAAACTAAGTGGGATGGGGCGGAGAAGAAAGCTCACAACACACACAATTGACATCGGCCCTTTGCCAAGCCAAAATATGTTTCCAAGCAAACGTGTTCCTGATCTTTCAGGTCCCTATCTAGGAATCAAAAGACATCAACCGACTCCAAGTTCGAAGTATGCGTCTTCATTCCTGTTTGCCAGTTAATCGCTTGTGCTTCTTGCAAATCCCAGCCACGCAAACAATGCACGTTGCAGAAGTCGGTGTACTGACATTCGCAACACATGACGAAGCTATCGCGGCATGGTGGCCATATAGCGGTGCTAAGCGATTCACTCGCTCTTCCTGCACTACACATTTGGTGGCATCGGTACCGGATTTGCCTCTTACTGCGGCCTCCATAGGACAACCACAGGACGTTTGCGCCTAAAGATGGATTATGCATGGCTTGTGCTGCACCACCCACAGTTTCATCCACACACCCTATGTCCAGTGTCAACCCGTAAGAATAAGACCGGGAGGCATGTGGATGGGAGCCACGTTTCATCAACGGAGCTGTTCCACACTCCTTCAACATACACCGGCATTACGTACGATCTACTGAACACACTCATTGCTCACGCAATTTCCCAGCCAGACATGACCTAGATTGCGAAGACACTGGTGGTCGAAGGCCACTAACCTCCTTATTTCTGTCTATTTAATGGATCAGCTTTCACAACCGCACACGAGCGTTGAATGTATGGCTGCATTACAGACTCTACCCATCTGGGAGATAGAGATGTCGCAACGACGCCATAAGTGTCCAAGTGGAGAAGAAGCATCGCTAGCTTTCTACAGGCGCCGATGCAACTGCCCAGGCAGTTGAATTTCTGTAGGGTTTTTAGCTGATCACCACAAAGTGTCAGCGCAGGCGGTGATTCCCGCCATTCTTCGAGAAGGTACTTGCATTTCCAAGGTGCAAAGCATAGTCCGAAATGGTTGACAGCCATTTCTAACTATTCCAATGCTGCCTCGCATCATCATCGTCATTATAAACTTTAGCTAGAGGTGGGAAACACCTCAGCTACTGCGCCGCAATACCTAAAAGGAAAAGGGGAATAAAATGCAACAGGTGCAAGCTAACTGAGCTACCGGTAACGGATGGGCATCGTTCCGGTAAGCTACCTGTTGGCTGCCATGTAGCAAGAAACAAGAATTTACTTTGCAAAATTACATAAGGCTAAATATTGAGATCGTGGTTGGAGGGGGAGACTAAGAGTGATGGGGTGGGACAAAGAAACTCACAGCACGAAAACCACTGAGGTCGGCTCCTAGCCATATCACCAAGTGTATCCAGCCAAACGTGTTCATCGTCTTTCGGACCCCAACCAGGGAGCCGAGACGCTCCAAGTGAGGCAAACTTCGAAGTGAGGGCGTTCATTTCTCTCGACCAAGTCCTCGTTTGGCCACCTCTCCTCTTCTTCCATCCACACCCCCGGTGAGCAAACAACGCACGTGGCAGCAGTCGGTAGGCTGACATGCGTAACACGTGGCCGAGCCATCGGAGCCTGGTGCGTGAACTAACGGTGCTGAGCGGTTCATTTCCTTTTCCTCGGCCGTAAACAAGGCGTCGAACACGTAGTTGCTCACGCGGTGTTTCCACCAGATGTGAGCCAAACTGCGAAGGCATCGGTGGTCGTTTGGTGGTTGTTTCATTTTCATTTGAAGGCGGCTTGTGTTCACAGTTATTTTTTGCAGATAGTCATATCACCACACCACGTGGGGCGAAGGAGATCAGCGTTAATGACTGGATGAATCGGTTAGGCTTTGCAGGTTCATGTGTAATGTACTCACTAAACGGCCATCAGTTCACTGTTTGCTTCTGTTCCCACTGTTGCAGGTGTGCGTCTTCGGAAGCAGTCTATGCCAGATTACAGACTGGGATCACACTCCTCAAAGCTAATCGGAAGTGAATCTTTTTCAAAACGATCAAAAGTAAACGCCGTGGTAGAATCCCCTCAACAGCAGCAGCAGCAGCCTGAGTTGGCCGGCTCCGGCGACATCAGCCCACTTGAACTTGAGCAAGTTTTGCATGAGGTGAAAAACCACAGCCTTACCGGCAGAGAACTTCTGCCCTTCCATACAGTAAGTGTCTCAAACTTCTCCATTGATCATTTCACTGTGTTTTTTCTTTCCATCTGTGTTTATTCATCTTTGGATATTTTTGAGTCGTGGAGAATCCGAATGAATCTGAATAGTGGACACGTTGATGTCAGTAACGGGACCATTAATTCTACTCTTCTTCGCTTTGGCTGGACATCTTCAGGCTCTATCCTGAAACCGTGGTTCATCAGACAACTTATGCTACCGGTCTACGCGCATATTTGGCTGATGTGGTTTCGCCCTATTTTCCATACATCGGAAGAAGTACAGACGGATAAAAAATATTGGACGCAGGCAGAGCAACGAAGGGCAGTTGAGTATGTGAACATGACCGTAGTAAGTAGAGGGTGTTGGCCATTTACTTAACGAGTCATAGCAGTACAGGCGGCTGGACGTGATTTATAATCGTGCAATGGCGATCGATGTAGGAGCACAGAGCCAATGAGGAAAGCACAAACGAAGATGTCCACTATCGCAAGTGAACCATTTCCGAATGTGTATTTTTTCTTGCCACCAGCATTCGAACACATCATAGAGTTGTGGCCCTAAGTGAATTTAGTCTACCAAATAAGATGTGTTCGCTTGGGCAACGCGCTTTAATTTCTTAATTAGTTGCATCTGCACATTTGATAACTGGTTCAACATTGCCCTGACCGGTGTTTCCATCGATATACCAGTCACCAAACGTACGAATAGACTCCTGAGTAGGAGTTGCTATTCGGCTTCAACTTATTTCAGCTTTGGAAAGTGAAGCATCTTGCATTAATTATATCGTCAACGAACGTGGATTCTGTAGTCGGATTAAAATACGACGGCACATCGCACACATAGCGGGTAAGTCACATCCAGCTTAGGTGCTTTCACTCCCTTCTGAGGAACAGAAGCCTATAAATTGGTCATGATGACTGGCACTCAGTAATAAATGCACTCCGGTAACCGAAACTTTGAATGTCTCCGTGCGAATGACGAGAGGAAGACAGGTAATGAGGATTGTTGTGTTCTCCGAGCTAGGCAATTTGGTTCCAAACGTTTCGTTGCCAAACTACGCAACATCCTCAGTGTGGCTATAGAGGTCTGATTTGCAGAGTCTCCTAAGCCACTGCCAGATCAAAATGACTGTTGATCGTCGCTTGCTTTGAATGTATCTTCGATTGGGTCACGTGGGTCGGCCAAGTGGCCACGTCTACGCCCTGTCGATCTGATACTTATTTTTGACCTCACATGCAGAGCTTCGTGGACCCCTTCGAGTTCTAGATGCTTGTTAATTAAGTTCTAGCCCGAATGTCAGTCCTCGAGGGACTCACACGCTCTGCGGTTCTTTGCTCTTCCAAGTATCTTGGCATTCCCCAGATCGAAATGATGGCCTTCGGCATCCATATGTCCTGACATTATAGATGTTTCATCATGGCTTTGGAGTGTCATTGTGAAGCAACCGTTTTGTGAACGAATTGCCATGCGCAATCATCATCATCATCATTATACACGTCAGCTAGAGGTGGGAAACACCTCAGCTACTGTGCCGCAATACATAAATGAAAAAGAAAAAGAAATACAAAAGTTGCATGCCAGCTGAGCTACCAGCAACGGATAGGCATCGTTCCGGTAAGCTACCAGCCGGCTACTAGGCAATAAGAAAAATAATTGTTGTGTTTTACGCTAAAAAATGAGATCGTGGTTGGAGGGGAAGGCTAAAAGGGATGGGGAGGGACAAGGAAACTCACAGCAGGAACGCCACTGAGGCCGGCTCCTTGCCATGTCAGCAAGTGTATCCAGCCAAACGTGCTCACCGTCTTTTGGACCCCAACCAGGGAGCCGTGACGCTCCAACCGAGGCCAGCACAGAAGTGAGGGCCTTCATTCCTCTTGACCAAGTCATCGCTTGGCCACCTCTCCTCTTCTTCCATCCACACCCCCGGTGAGCAAACAACACACGTCGTGGAAGTCGATGGGCTGGCATGCGCAACACGCGGCCCAGCCATCGGAGCCTGGTGCGTGAACTAACGGTGCTGAGCGATTCATTTCCTTTTCCTCGGCCGTAAACAAGGCGTCGAACACGCTAGTTGCTCACGCGGTGTTCCCACCAGATGTGAGCCAAACTGCGAAAGCATCGGTGGTCGAACTTAACTAGCCTGTATATGTCCACCGACCTTAGAGGCTAGGTTTCTCAACCGTACAGTAGGGTCGAACGTACCACTGCATTGTACACTCTACCTTTCAAGGCGAGAGTAATGTCGCGCCGCCGCCATAGGTGGCGAAGGCTAGCAAAAGCACTTCGAGCTTTTGCTATACGGTTCGTGATCTCGTCTTCGATCCCAAGGGCGCTGATACAACTTTCCAGGTAATTGAATTTCCGAACGACTTCTAGCTGATCCCCACCAAGGGTCAGCGCATGAAGCGACCCCTGCCAATCTTGGAGGACCGCTTTGCATTTCGATGGTGCAAAGCAAAGGCCAAAGCGGCTGACCGCCAGTCCTAATCTGTCCCACGTCTGGGAGCTGTCACAGATGTAGGCACTGTCGTCAGCATACTCCAAGTCGAGAAGTCGTTCTCCTGGAAGTAGCTCCACACCTTCCAAGTCATGTCATGTAAATGCAATCTCCATTACTTCGTCAATAGCGAAGTTGCATAGGAAATGTGACAGCGGGCATCCTTGTCTCACACCGCTGGAGATATTGAAGGGTGGCGACAGCTTGCCGTAAGCCTTCACTCTGCCTGAGGTACGCGCGTCTAATTCTCGGATAATATTTACATATTTCTCGGGCACACCTTTCCTGAGTAGACAATTTCAAAGGGCACATCGATCAACCGTATCGAATGCACCTTTGATGTCGAGGAACAAGACTACAGTGGGCCGCCAGTATAATTGACGGTGCTCCAACAACTGACGCAAAGTGAAGATGTGGTCAATGCAGCCACGACCTCGACGAAACCCGGCTTGCTCCTCACGAATCTGGCTTTCACGAGCGCCAGTCAGTCTGTGAAGGATGACAAAGGCAAGCAATCTGGAGGCGATGGAGATCAGACTGATTCCTCTATGGTTGCCGCATTCCGATTATGAGCCTCCCTTAAAACTTTGGACTATGTCCGAGCGGCTCCAGTCGGTTGGGACAGTCTCTTGCTCCCACAGTTTCACTAGGAATTCAAGTAAACCATCAAGAAGAGCAGGTCCCCCGAATTTGAAGAGGGCTGGAGGCAGATCATCTGGTCCCGCGGCTTTGTTCAACTTTAGCAGTGCGATCTCACGTTCGACTTCTGAGCGAGAGGGTGGATCCAAAGAGCCAGCCCACGGAGCAGCGCGATCACTGGCCAGCGAAGTATCGAACAATTCTAGCCGATTAAATTGCTTTTCAAAATGCTCAGCCCAACGCTCCAATCGTTTTGAGAAATTGTGGATAGGCTGTCCACTCTCGTCACGTATAGTTTCCCTAACACCAGGTCTTCTGTTGCCCGTTTCCCGTATAAGCCGGAATAACTCACGATAGTTGCAAAGGGCAGCGGCCACTTCCATCTCTGACGAACGGCGAGACCACCAAATTTCGCGGTCTCTCTTCAGGCTAGCACGAAGTCTTGCCCAGAGCTCTTTGCGAATTTCATTGTGTTCGCTTTCAGCCTGGATATGCCGGCGAGCATTGATAAGTTCAAGAGACTGCGAAGAGACCCAATGTCCATGTTGGTGATTAGACTTACCACATGAGGATTTTCCTGCTCACAGCGTCGTCGTGGGCGTCCACCAAAGCGCATCTGCATGTCAGGACATACATGTGTATGATCAGTGTCCACTCCTGTGCTCCAAATCGAGCGACAGTTCTGGACGCAGCCTCTCCAGCTGTAACTGATAGCAATGTGATCGATCTACGTCCAAGGCTGGTTCGAGGCTGGTGGGCGCCAAGTCACCCTCCGGTGGGTGCTGCGTCGGAAGTTAGTGCTCGCAAGAAATAAGCGAGCATTTTCACACAAATGAAGTAACCGCTCACCGTTATCATTACGGGGGCCTACACCGTGCTGACCGCCCAGATGCATTTCATCAGTGGACAACTTTCCAACTTGAGCGTTCAGATCTCCCGCCATCACAACAGGGTCCGTGCTGCTTCTATGGCGAAGCGGCTGGGTCAGTTGGTGGTAAAGGTCATTCTTTACCGAATCATCGCTACAGTTTGTGGTTGCGTGGGTAGCGATGATGAATAGACGCCTGTTAGTTCCGCGCGACTTCGAAGCTTTGAAATAGCCAGCCAGTCGGACCGCACACAACGGACTACTGATTGGAATCTAGTCAACCAGAGCAGCTTCAGCCCGGGGACTCAGGGCAATGTCAACACAAGCTTGGCCGGTGCTCGAAGCTGCATCGTCACCAGATAGGCGCAATGAGAAAACACTGCTTGCGTCACCTGTAGGGGATCTTGAAGTGAGCACATAGCTCGAGTACTGCAGGTGGGTCTACGATAAGCAGCAGTTGTCGATCGAGAGGGTGTCCGATGTTCGGGCAAGTGCTGCCTGTTGACCGATCTGTAGTAATGTACGCACATGCCAATCTGAAGGAGGATCGAGGGCTCCAAATGGAAGCCGATGAACTGGAATGGATCGTTTGATTGGACATGGGCTTGTCGACAGGAGAGGAATGACGCTCCACGTTCACATGTGAGTTGAAATTAGAAGATAATTAATGGTAGATGTTTGTGAGTAGTGTAAAGTTCGGAGAAAGTAGAAGCCACGATTAAAATTCACGCACAATAATATGCCTCGACGGGGAGTCGAACCCCGGTCCACGAATTTCCGGTCCGTTGCTCTACCACCTGAGCTACCGAGGGCTGACGATTCGGTGCGCAAATTTTAACACATGTCTTCTGCTTGGTGCGCGACGTGTTGCCAATAAGCTCACAGTACCTGTCCTGATGTTGCAGATTGGCTCACTCACCCGTCACTTCCCAATAGACCGAAGTTCCTGTCCTTCAGACGTCCAATGGGCGATAGTAGATTAATGGTAGA